CGGTGGTTGTAGCAATAGGAAGAGATGAGAAGGAACTAGCATAGTGCTGTTATGGCAATCAGGGCGGTCATGTTGTTGGGGGGGGGACGTTCCATTTGGGGGATGTGAGTGAGACAATTACTGTGTTTGGGACCGAGACTTAGGGAGGAGAAGGGATTCTGGGGGATAGAGCTACCCTAGGACCAAGCCCAGCAGAAGGGTTCCCTGGCGTTCTTCCCCTCTGCTGGGCTTAGTCCTAGTGTCACCTACCATCGACCCTGTTTTGTTGTTTTGTTTTGAATGTTTCTCCTCTGGACGTGAGCGCCTCGATCAGCAAAACATATATAGTTGACATTAAACCTCAACAAGAACTCCCAATTTTAGTGACTCTTATTTGCTTTGATGGTAGTAGTTACATTTACATGAGGGTCCTCACTCATCTCTTGCGCTGAAATCTCCTCACCGATACTGCTGCTTCCAATCCCCGCGAGCGGAAAGATTTTCAAACAGCAGAACCATGCGGAGTTTATCCGCAATCTGCACACGCATTGACGTGTTGAATTCTACCCAGAACCCGCGAAGCCTTGTCCCGTCCAGATCGCCGCGCGTGCCGCCGCGGAACTCGCCGCGTGACAGGCCGGACGAGCCAAAAGTCCCGCACCCAGGCATAAGGTGGCAGGTGCGAGGTAGTGATTAAGAGGTCATTTTTGACTAAAGCCCCTCTCCCGTTCACTCTGAACCGAGTTGGCATTACTGACAGTCTCACCGCTACCCAGCGCTACTAGGACTGGATCTGGACAGTCTAGTCGCTATGTGTCAGAGCGTATCCGACTGCTTAAGGTGGTGGAATATAAGCATCTCCGTAGAGTCGTAAAGATTTGGAAATATATATGTATTAGGTCGGTCCATAAGTCTTGCAACAAACTGGCCGAATTTTGAATTTAATATTTTCATTATCTTTTTGTTCCATTCATCCGGCATGCTACCCTCCATCAATATCTACAACCTATTGCCAACACACTAGTAGCTGCTCGATGCCTCCCTTGTAGGACTCTACTGAATTCTGATCGAAGAAAGATCAGATGTCGATTTTGACATCATCATAGTTAGGATGAGCTTTCTTCTCTAGGAGATGGTTTGGAGAGGGGAGCAGAAGGGCATTATTTGCTCGAGGTCAGGGCTATAACGTGATACGGAAGAACTCTCCGTCCAGAGTCTCAAAATTTTCCTGAATTTTCTTAGCAAGAGGTGGTTCAACGGTGTCATACAAAAGCAAACTTTGCCTTGTTTTTCTTTCGTATTAAAAGCGTTGCATTCGAGCTGTGGATAGTTGACTTTCGCGTTGACTGCGACATCTACACGTAGGGGTTTCCAGAGCTCAACTCCTCTCGTGTTCCACCAAAAATCCGAGAAGGCCCTACTTGGACGAGGTTGAACTTAAGCAGTAAGACTCCCGAAGCGTTTGAGCTGGACTACCGCCGCTTGTTCATTTGTTAGCAAACTGTACCCACTCCTCATCTTCGGCAAATGTGATGGATGGTCAATCGTAGAATCCCTAGTAAGTCGACTTGAACATAACGGTGTCAGATCGTGTTTGGAGCTGAATCGGGCTCAAGGCACGTGGGGACCAAACTCTACATTTTCGGATCTTCACAAGTCTTTGGAGATGCCACAGTGCTGTCTCCTTGTCGCATCGGAATCGCTCTAGCAAATGATCGATACTCTATCCAGATCCCTTTTCAACGCGTCAGATAGAGCATCGTGATTGTCAGTCACAGGGTGGTTGGAGTGTGGGTTATTTTCAAATAAAAAAGTCAACGCTGAGCAGAGTGAAGCGCCGTTGCACTGTGGTTTGAGAGAGCTTGCCCTCGCCTATCTTCTGGCCAATCCTTGGTCTAGCATGACTTGCGGAACATTCCAAGCAGTACTCGTAAAAATTAAGGGCATCGAGAGCCCTCTCGCGAAATCGGTGTAATATCCATAATAAGTAAGCAGACAACGAGCTGGACCGTTGGCTGAAATTGCAAAGGTTGATGCTACGTCAGGAAATATGTTGCGGATTTTCAGGAGTTCTCCCTAAAATTCTATAGCATTAAATGTAGTTTGTTGCAAGACTTATGGACCGACCTAATATTCACGCTTTTTGGGCCGCGAATCACCTCTAAATGCGAAACTGACATCGTCATGTTCCTTTTGGTTTCCAGAGTATCCTTCAGTGATCACCCTGTATATTCACTAGCATTGTGCACTGGTGGAGTGTGTAGCAAATCCACAAGGAACAATTGCCTAGCTTAAACGACCCGGGAGTTCTGATAACAAAAGCCCAGGCTTCCAAGTACAACCCTTCTGTGATGTTAGTGGAGCACGAAACTGCGCTGGCAGCCAACGCCTATTGATGTTGGGTCAGTGAAGCAAGCAAACGTGTAGCATAATGGCGACGCGTTCAACTTGAAAGCTGAAGGCAAGCCCCGGCCTAAGCTGGTGTATGTGAAAGCGCTTCATCGCGATGCTCGAGCAACGAGTGAACTGAAATTGAAAAAGAAAGAAGAAAATGCCCACAATTGAAGGAATCTTCCGCGGAAAAAGCTCCGCCTCCATTACCACAGAAAAACGATACCCCTTAGGCCCCTAGCCTCATGAGCATAGCAAAAAGAACGGAACATAAGCGTTAGTTTCGATAATACTAATCCTACACACAAGACAAAATGATCACTCTTTTCCGTGGAGTTCCTTTAACCCATAACGGACGGCGTGCGCCACAAGGTGGCGCACGACTATTTCTTTTGTTTTTGGAATGTTTCTAGCAATCTTAATATACCCATATATACTCTCAGCAATGTGGAATAACATATCTTCCCAGGACCTGGACGGCTGGATTTTTGACAAACCTACAATAAATTTTGTTTAATTTACATAAGTTTACTATTTGATGGGTGGCTTACCCATGGTTCGCACGTCCCGAGACCCCTTCCCCTAAATATAGCCACATCCTTGCTCGGGGTTGTTGTTTCGCATTTTTCGATAATGTCACCTACAGCTTCCATTCATTCTTTGCACCCTAGTTTTAGAGCGGAAAGGCGGGCTACGAACTTGTCGTCAACGGAAATCTCTTTTTCGGATGATGAGACTCCGACACCTACTTTAGCCCCGTCTTACCCCTGCTGTTCACATAAGCCTACATAAACCCTACCCTGGGTGGCGGCGTGCGCCACATGGTGGCACGCGAAAAATACACTGGCCGTCCGTTATGGGTTAAGGTATCGTAGGTATCGTTTTCTGTGGCGCAATGTGCCTCGGGGGGGACCAGTCGCCGCGCGCGGCCGTGCGGCAACAGGAAATTCGTGAGCCAGGGGGAGTGTAGCCAATTCAGGGGGGTTGGGGGTGAGGGCAGTCACATGACATGCGTGAGAAGCTGGAATGTTCCGTGAGAAGCTGGAATGTTCGAATTTCCTGTTGCCGCACCGCGCGCGGCGACTGGCCCCCGAGCCACATAGCGCCTTCTGTGGTAATGAAGGCGGAGTTTTTTTCAGTGAAAGATTCCATTAAAGGAAATTCCGGAAAGATCGTGATTCTTCTCACCCATAATTTACTGACCCATTGTTCACGATAAGAACGAAAACAAAAATTGCATTTGTTTTGGTAAAAATTCGAAAAATCGAAAGGGCTGCTACGCGTTCAAAGTACCGCCGGACATCTGTCACAAATGCTGGCGACGGGAATGCTTCCATGTTCTTCGGAGTGCCGTCACTAGAAACTTTCTGGCCTTTTGACTTATTGCATTAACATCTCACACTTCTACTGCATCCTATTCTATCGATCGATTTGTCTCTACTCTCCAAAATCGCACGCTTTAACCCTTTCATTGCGTCGCCTGATACGTAGCCGCCCCAAGGCGGACTTCTTTCCATGCCCCGCCTTTGGCTCCGCGCCACTCACCTTCAATTGTCTATTTTTGTTTTTTCTTTTTGTGGTTTTTGTAACTTTCTTTCGATTCGGAAACTGAATCTCTGGGCGTGAGACTTTCTATGCTGTTGACACATGCGTGCTGGGAAAGAATAAATGTTTTTTTTTCCGGAGAGGATTCCTTTAATGACCTTAGTTCCCAGTAAGGTCGTGTGGTACGATGTAGAGAGAGTGTAACCAGAGAAAACAAAACGTGGGATAAAGCCTGCTGTAAGAGGAAGCACGCTGATCTTCATTTCATTCGTGGTGGGTGGGGAGCGTTTCGATTGTGGCACATTTGGGCCGACTAGCGCCCTTTCTACGCATTTTGCGCAGCAAATGGCACGATCCCTTTAGGTACGGACCAAACACGTTCACTCGCGACGTGAGTCTGGTCTCTACCTACAGGGATCCGCAAGGTGGGGTCGAACGACGTCAGGATGAAAGCAGACTTTCCTTGCTTAAAGGCGATGCCGGGATTATCCCCACTGCTACGAGGCTTTCATGCTGAGGTCGTTCGACCCCACCTTGCGGAGAATATTCATAAAAAATTGGAGGCCATCAGACTAGCAGTTTTTTCAGCTCCGCCGTGTAGTGAATCCTAGTGCAAGCGAAAGCCTACCTAGTCTGCGCTCTTCCTTTTGAAGAAGTGTGTACAGCCCACGGGGCCAAGCTCGTTTAAGGCAGGTGTGAGCTGCGAGGTGCCCGACTTCGTCGTCACGAGGGATGGCCTGCCTGCTCCCCTCATCTTAATCATTTGAACTCTCAGTATGGTTCGTGGTTAAGTGCAAGGCATGTCGAGCTCGTCATGCGATTCCGCAATCATTGCAACCACCATCAAAGGAAGCGTAGGAAGTATTGAATAAGGGATACCTGCGTGGTATGTGTGAGGAACAGAAATGATTTCGAGGGCTGGCTTTTCATTGCAGCGGTGGGACATTTTTCAAACATCTGCGTTGTTGCGTTTTTGGTATGATGTCCGCCATGGACGGTCCCAAGCCCGTCTGGGAAAGGAGGAGGGTTGGCCCGCTACCGACGGGCTGTAAAACTAGGTAAGAAACCATGGAGTGTCATTATAGCAATAACGACAAAGCTACCGCATCCGGGGGAGCCGATGCGCCAATACCGAGGAGCCAGGGTATTGGTGGAAAGACATTGACTGGCCAAAAAAAGGAAATCCCACGACTCCTTACACCTAAGTCGAAACTGCGACTTGGATCGTGGAACGTGCGGACCGCCTTTCACTGCGGTCAGAAAGAAATCATCGCAAGGGAGTTGAGCAAGTGCCGGGTTACTGTTGCAGCTTTATCCGAACTGAGGATCAGCGGCTGTGGAACGACAAGAGTGCAGGTTCCTGCTACGGACGATTGATGACGATGACACTGTACTACTCTGGCGGTCAAGAACATCGTGATGGTGTTTGGGGTTCATGCTCAATAGCCACGCATCAAAATGCGTCGTGTCGTTTCAACCCATCTCGCCGAGAATAGCAGTGATCACTTTGGGCGGAACCGTCAAGTCGCACATAGTGAGCGTATACGCTCCGACGGAACCGAGCGACGACGGTATGAAGGACGAATTCTATATGCAGCTCCAAGACGTGCTGGACAGCATTCCCAGAAGAGATCTCGTTATCGTCACAGGCGATCTGAACGCTAGAACTGGCGCCGACAGAACCGGATGGGAACCTGTGATGGGCCGATTTGGCGTAGGGAGAAATGAACAACAATGGTTTGCGGCTGCTTTCGTTTGCCACGTTCAATGATCTGGTCATCGGCAATAGCCTATACCAGCATGCACGAAAGCATCAGCTGACATGGAGAAATCCATCTGGTCACGATTCAGCAGTCCTGGACTATGTACTAATCAATTCTCGATACAGGTCATCGCTAAAGGATGTGCGTGCAATGAGAGGCCCGGATTGCGGGATCAG